ATCAGAGTATTTTCTTCATGTTTTAAACACATAAATACATTATCTCTCTCCTCACCTGCTCTGCAGTCTTGTTGGCCTGTAGATGGGAATGAAGTCGGCGTATTAAAGGCATCCCATTTCGTGACTGTCGTTTCAGCAACCAGTAGTTATGAAGTCTCTGCATGAACTGATTCTTCCTCTGGACTTCCACTCCTGTGCAGATCTTGTTCAGCCTGTGGAGATTTAACAGTTTTACATTAAAGAAAACGGTGCAGCAGTACTGTCAGTGATATGGTTAGGCCATTTAAATATCAATTCATAAATATACATAAAATACTTTTTTAATGCACTGGATCCAAACCTGTGTTACCAGTGTAACCCCAACAATACTACTAATACATCTTGTAACGCAGCAGAAACAACAGTAAATCAATAAGGCATGCTTGATATGTAAATTCCAACAGTATGCAAATGTCACACCTGTGAGATGGGATCTGAGGCACGAGCAGCACAGGCACGGTTGAGCGGCGTGATGACCGACCCTTCGTATTCTTCTTCTTCTGGCCCTTGGTAGCCTTCTTGTTTGGTGGTGTTGGTGGGGGGCTTTGAGTGTAGGACCTCTGACCCCGGTTTCCCCTTCCCCCCACCAGTCTCCCTTCAACCGATTCGTCCCCAGACCCGTCCCGTCGGGACCCCACCGGAGAGTGATGCTCACAGAAAGCAGTTTTCTTCACAGAGAAGGTGGTACCGTTGACCCCAGTCTCTCGGACTGGGTCTATCTTCATAAAGAGGCCGGCCTTCTGGGCGCAGGTGACATGAAAGGCTCTGTAACAGTTGGCTTTGTGGCACTGGATGGACGCTCCTCTGCCTTTCTGCTTACACAGGTAGCAGGTGAGCTTCCAGCGAGCAGTAGGGATGTTCTTCACCCCCTCAACAGGCTCCAGAAACACTGTGTTGGCAAAGCACACCTCCGGGATCCATATGGCGCAGACAACATGGGCCCAACGTCCATCACTTGTCTGTTTGAAGGCACCTCCTCGGTTGGGACAGAGCACACAGTCTACAGGACGGGAGGGGGACTGCAGGCAGCAGCGGCACAGCCACTGACCCTCGGGTACGTAGGGCACACCGTAACACTCCTGGTGGACGGCCAGATTACAGATGTCACAGAACAGGATGACATTACTGTTCAGACATTCGTCGTCCAGGCAGACGCAGCAGAAGGCGTCCTCGTCCACGGCGCTCTGGGACAGGGCCTGGTTGCGGGACTCCAGGATGGATTCCCTCTCCAGGCGATCAATCAGCAGCTCAAAAGTGTCTGCAGATACAGAGGCATACCCGTCACACACCCTCTTTTGATTAACCATCTCCAGCCAGGCCAAGTCCTCCTCGTCCATGTCGTACTCAGCCACACTGTCCTGCTCCTCCATTGACTTTTCTATGTAACGATAGTAGGCTGTTGGGAGAGGAGCTGCTTCTGACGGGGTAACGGAACTCAGCACACGAAAGACGGGCTCGGGCAGAGGGATATGGTTAGATGGTGGGTGGAGGGAGTTAGTAGGTCCTGAGTGTTGCTGGGAGCCGGACCGTTGGTTCTGGTGAGACGTATTTTTACCACTCCTCCTGCTTTTACAGTTTGAAGGTTTCCTGCATGATCTGGTTTTGCTCTGCGTTTGTTCACTGTTCTCCTTGTTGCTGTTGCACTCAGCAATGTCCTGGGCCATCATCTCGTCCTCGGTAATAACTGGCAGATGATCTGTGATGTTAATCCGATGAAGCCTTCCTTCAAGATCCACTTCCACTATTTTCTGTGCCTGAGCGTACGTCAAAGTCTCCCTGGATGGAGAGAGCTGCAGTCTGTAGGGCGAGGGGGGCCGCAGCTGGCCAGACGATCCCCTGCCCCTTCCTCTCCCTCTGCCTCGGCCCCTACCCATTTTGAGTCCGCTTACAACTGTCTCACATTCCCACCTGCTCACCTTCCGCATGGGAGTTTACACCAGCTCCCTGACAGATACAGAGAAAAAAAAATTAATGATGAATTAAAAATACAAAATTAATCATTTATGAATAAATAAAATGGTTACAAACGTATGTAATAATTGCCCTCCGAGATTGTTAATCTGTAATTATTTTGGTGTTCCTATATGTGTGGCATGATAAGTCTTTCCCTTATTAATCATACTCCTTGAAGAGAGCTTTTATATTTTGCATTTATTGACTAATGACTAAAAACTCATCTCTTTCGACTCCACTTCGAGCAATACAATTACCAACAAAGCACTTGCATACTAATAAAGGACTGGCTTATCTAAAGCTAGTTGAGTAGCACTTGAAATGTTTTGGCTCTATGAAACCTGATGTACTTATATGATTCTGTTTTCTTCAAGTTTGTATCTTCTTGGTCGAATGCACTTATTGTAAGTCGCTTTGGATAAAAGCGTCAGCTAAATGTAATGTAATGTAATTGTAAGCCTTGTTGTGATTCTTTATCAATCCTCGTCACAACATTTAATAGGTAAAAGGGGTCAACTCAGTATGACACCTCAAGTACTCTTACTGCACAAACACAACTACTGTGAGTTGCACTGCTCGCATGTATGCACCTCAGCTGTCTCTCCATTGGTCCAATCTGGAGCCTGGATCACTCCCTCATTTCCCTCAGTCCAATCACATGTCAGTATCCTCTATTTTTTTCCTTGTTGCTGTGCATAGTTAGGTTGAAGAGCGCTAAATACCAACCCGAGTATCTAACATCTGTCAGCCATTTTAAGCGCACAACAGCACAGACAACATTTGGATTGCAAGTTGATTAGCAGCCCAATTATACATGCCAACAGCAACCAGAAAGCAGGCGCACTGTATGCACCGAGCCTGAATTCACAAATTACTTGCACGTATACATTAGTTCACGTCACTGCAAATATGCAACGTTTCGGCTGCAGCTTTGTACTCCAGACCCCTGCAAAAAGACTGTCTCTCTCTCTCTCGCTGATGTGATAACGTTACTCGGTCGGACAGGACACACTAGAAGTCGTTTAACAAAACGGCAGGTTTCCTAAGCAACGCTGAAAAGGCCGAACATATCAGAGTGCTTTACCTTACGAAGTCGTCCTCTCCAGTGCGAGTGCCAGACAGAATAATTGCACCTAGCCAAATGTCAGCTAGTGACAGACTACAACCAAGGCGGACATGCTAGCCGTTAGCTTAGCTAGCCGGTAATTCAGGAGCGACAGCGTCATCTTCAGCCCTTCACTTCTCCGCTGTGACTTCGGTCATACACACAAACTCGACCCGGTTTCATAGTTATGTTTTAAACCTTCCAAATGGTGCTTGTTCCCAACTTAAAGGTAGCAAAATGCCGAAGATATCAAATTAATGTTCCTTGGATGGGGCTAAATATTCAGTCAAGATGGCTTGAAAAATACGCCCCTTTGTAAAAAAACACCTCAGCCAATTGTAGGAGGCCGATTCACCTCGCGCGCAACGCGCATCGTTTTTCGATTGGTTGAAGAGATAAACCGAATTCATCGAAGTCAACAAGTAGATCATAACAGAAATAAACGATGAGAAAAACAACGAGGCATATATTGCGCGCCTTATATCCTGGTCTTTATTTCCCATAGGTAGGCCTACCTGTTATACACCTGCTATCTCTCGGGATACATTGTAATTTAAACAATCCAATATTGAAGTAATGACCACATGAAATACAAAAATAAACTATATAAAATACGAAAATACTAGCTTATTTTACATGATAATAATGTATTCATCTAGTTAACTATTTAAGCAAAGTGCCTGTAAATTCCTTGTATAAAGAAGTTGACAAATAATCCAAATCCAAGTCCCCTCTCATGTTTTTTGAGAGCTTCACACCTGAATCACACCGTATTCATAATCAGTGCACTTGATTTCTATGTTTTTTTTCCGTTCATTGGTCTTGACCTATGGATATTGTAGCTCTATGTGAAGATTTATTTAAACCATTATGTAAGTAAGATGAAACATTGCCTAACAGTTAAATGAATAAATATATCCTAATTCAAGTCAAGTTTCACCCCAGGAGCGATATAATTCTATAAAGCCATAACCAACTCCAAAAAACATTAACCAACTCATTCTGTAGATAGACACATTCAGTAAATGAATTTCAAGAAATTAAAACATGTGTCATGAGTGAGTGTGACAAGAAGGACTGTTGCAAACATTGGCGCCTATATCAATAAAATGTATTATTATTATTACTATTATTGATTTCGGAGCTACACAAAATACAATTCCTTGCTTCCTTACTTTAAACCGGTTGGTAGGTTTTATCCATTCCATGATAAAAGATTATTACTCTTTCAAAATGTTACTGAGCCTCTAACACCTTTCAAGGCCATCTTCCAGCTACAGCACATATATTTTTTGTTTGGTTTCTGCACGAATATGTGAATTCAATATTTATTTTCTCTCTACATTTTGCAAGATTTTGAGAAACCTTCATGGCCTCACAAAGTCATCGGCCTTTCAGTCAATTCTGTGGTCGAATTATTTGCTTTTTAAAGAGGTACTAAAGCTTGTTAACCTTCTCATTCCAAACTTGCACAACACCTCCAAAGAAATGGTTGCATATATATTTATACATTTAATCTTAATTAGTTATTCATACGTATTCTATTTAATCAATATCAGTAACAGTTCTAAAGAATGAACTTTTTCCTGAACAAAACACAAAGCATGACAGCTGCTTTGATATTCAGGAGCCATAATTATTCAACTTTGTTAACATGCAATAGACATTATAAAACTTGTGATATAAATTTTCACTGAAATAAAATTGTAATGTTACTGTTACAACATGATCATTTTATTCATATTATAAAATGATTCTTCAAGGTCATATTAAGTATTAAACCCACATGCTGATCCACAGTGGGAGCTGTTTGTGTGCACCTCCTGCTGCTTCTTCCCACCCCTTCAAAATCCTTCCTATTTCTCCACCCACAAAAACTTTGCTGGCTGTTTCCATAACACATTTGAGTCTGAAAAACTTCAGATCACACTGCATCAGAGTCGAGATCGCCCAGGTCGGTTTGAAGTCTGACGTCCCAATTCAGAAGCCACATCTTGGACTCATCTCAGGTACTAACATCCATCATATTCTCTCCTTAATGATTGTTGGTGGCACTATTTGGTGTCTTGATTTAAGTCACATCTTTGCATTTTTATCAAGAAAGGTCTTAACAATATGTATTCAAGTTGTGAACCAACCACTATTTTTCTTTTATATCTTCTAGGATGCAAATCAAGAGAATCAGGATGCTGTTTGGCTTCTGTGTATTGTCTGTTGGGTTTTTCCTGGACATGGGAGTGTGCACTGCAGGTAAGGAACTTTATTTATTTTTTACCACTGGTTTTACTTGGGCAGAAATAATTATGATACACCAAATCAAAAGATTTAACACAGCTTGTAAGATAAAACAAATACGTTTTTAACCTTGAACCATGTTGAAAGTGACTAAATGGGCTTTTGGTTATACAAGTTGGCTGGATTGACAACATTAGAAAACTTAGGTTTGTGCCTTTTCACCAATATTTCAAAGTTTGACCCGGTCACTGCATTTGTTATTCAGTGTGGTGACAGCTTTCTTTTTATCCCCTGCCAAATTCCTCATGTTTTCACTGCTGGATTTGGTAGACATTTCTCAGGCTTGAGGAGACATAAATACATAAACAGCCAGCTCGGATCAATATCAAATTGTAGCAACACATCCTGTCCAACTCTTCTAGAAAAACAAAAAGGGAAGCGAGCCAGTTGTCACTCTCACAAAAAACGGTAATAAATTAACTCTATGGAGCAAACAAAGGCCTTGTGTTTCTGAGTGGCCAAAAAGTCTTGAAGAGCTTGTATACGTGTCATCTTTTGAAAAGGAGGATCTGATGGTTGTCAGGATCACCCTGTGGCGATGGATCCCCGAGGCCTTGGCCTGAATCGAGGGCTTTTGATACTCTTTGACTTCCCTCCCATCTCACAGTACCATGGCATTGAGAGTCTTTGAATTAAAACAATGCTCTAAACAGATTGTGGTGTTCAAACCATTTTCAAAAGAGGAGAGAGGCCAGATCTCTAGGATACCGGAAAACAGTTGTGACAAGAAGGTCAAAACATGGTCACCCAATGTTAACCTCAGACCTCTCTGCATGTTACAGTCAAGTCTAAAGATGGCCAATGCACAAAAGAGACCTCTGATCTTTCCATATTTAGCTGTGATCAACCTTTCCAGTTAACAATATGTATCTACAGTATTTATTCCAATGGTTCCCATGCTTTCTCACATATGACCCCCTTAAATTGGAACAGCATGTAATTGTGACCCCATCAAAGTTTGAAATTCAATCAAAGGGTCACTTTTTTTCATCTTGATTTAAAGGATGCCGGAAGATGTAAATACTTCTTTCTTTCTTATCCCTTTACTCATCTGGTGACTTCTCAGATTTCTCTTAGGACCCCTATGTTGAGAACCAATGGGTTTTTTCCCCCTCATATTTTGTCTCATTTCCAAGCTTTCATAGAAAGAATTAACATGCTTATGTGTAAGAGTTTTTGTATTGACATGTTTCTTACTTTTCACCCTCAACACCAGTGCAATCAGAGCTGAGAATTACAACCATAAAGGTATTTTTATTTTAACCTCCATGTATTGTAAACTATTTAAGATGCAACACGTCACTGATTGTCTTTCGATGTATTTTTTTTTATAGCAAGAGCCATATGCAGTGTCCAAAGGCTCACAACTGGAAGGCTTTTGCATGGACCTGCTCTCTGAAGTAGCCAAGAAACTGGGCCTCAAGTACAAGGTGCACCTGGTGAAGGATTCTGCATACGGCAGACAGGATGAGAGCGGGAACTGGAATGGGATGATTGGAGAGGTGGTGAGAGGGGTGAGTGCATCAACACTGACATTTGGAAAGGTCAAAGGGCAGCCATCCTCTCTGCTGGATTTAGAATGACCCCAGCTGGTGTCTGTGACTCACAACGGATACATTCAAAATCAGTGAATTTGTGAACTTTATCAGCAGGGTTGCTGGTGCATTAAAATCTCTTAAGCAGTTTCTATAAATTAACAGTAAGTATTTATGCGTTCTCTACAGGAGGCCGACCTCGCTATTGCTCCGCTGACGCTCACTGCAGCCCGGGAGAAAGCGGTGGGGATGACCAAACCGTTCATGCAGACAGGAATCAGCATTCTTCTGAGGAAGGACATCTCAGAGGGAACGGGCCTCTTTGATTTCCTGTCTCCCTTTACAGCCAAGACCTGGGTCGGCATACTCATCGCCTACCTGGGGACCGCTGCTTGCATCTTTTTAGCTGCCAGGTTAGTGATGCAAGTATAATCTATTAAAACAGTGATATTTATTATTTATTAGTGGATTTTTATTGATGTGATGTGGATTTGAATATCTTGTCTGTGGATATTTTCACATTTCAGCTGGCAGTGGAATTCCTTTGAGTGCGATCGTATTAATAAGTAATATTTTTATGCAAATGCAGACTCAGCCCATGTGAGTGGAGTCAGCCTCAGAGTGAGAAAAACAAATTCAGCCTCCTCCACAGCCTGTGGTACACAGCTGGAGCTCTGACTCTACAAGGTGACACATTGTATCCCCCCAAATTGAGACGGACAACAATATATGTACTTATTGTTTATGTTCTATAAAATTATCTCCCTCCTTGCTTTCAAATGTTTTTGTCAGGTGCTGGCCCTCACCCCAAAGCTCTTTCAGGACGTGTCATCTGCTGCAGCTGGTGGTTATTCACCATCGTCCTCCTGGCATGTTATTTCTCTAACCTCAGCTCCACTAAGACCTCTGAGTCCACTCACCTCACAGTGAAAGGGTTTGAAGACTTGGCCAATCAGGACACGATCGAGTATGGCTGTCTGGGTGGCTCCTCCACCCTTGCCTTCTTCAAGGTAGACTACAGACATTGGATTATTTATGAATCCCCTGTTTCTCTGCTGTTTCTCTTATTCAGTTTTTTCATTCATGCAGAATTCAAACAATCCAGTGTACCGCAGAATCTTTGAACACATGGAGAGAACCAAGAGTTTTGTCTCGTCTATGGACGAAGGGGTCTGGCGTGCAAGAGAAGGAAACTTTGCCTTTATTGGAGAGTCTGTTTCTTTGGACTTGGCAGTAGCACGTCACTGTGAGCTGGTCAGAGCTCATGAAGTGGTTGGAATGAGAGGATACAGCATTGCTGCCAGCCTTGGTGAGCTTAAGCATATTATAAAACTAATAGAAAATGACATTTGAAATAATTAATAATTAAAATTGTATAATTAACAATAAACCTATACATTTCCTCAAGGCTCACCCATCATAAAGAACCTCAGTGTGGCAATCCTACAGCTGAGCGAGGAAGGGGAGCTGGCTTACCTGCGGAGCAAGTGGTGGGCCAGCAGCTGCATCGCAGACAAGGCCAAGTCGTCAGCTGGGCAGCCGCACAGCCTCAATGGGCTGTTTCTGATTCTTTCCCTGGGCCTGGGGCTGGGAGCACTGCTGGCTGTCCTGGAGCTCACCTCCAAGAGCCGCAGAAGTGCAGCTGAGCAGAGGGTGAGTGCAAGTGCATTCAAATCACATTACTTCCGTTAGGCGAAAAAAAAAAAACATCCACCAACAAAACTTCCTAACCTTTCAGAAACTAGACCAAACAGCCTTGTTCTTTGCTCAACAGTGTGTACTTGTATTTATCCAAAAGGGGTTTTGAATGGTTTCATAAGCCAGTAGGTCTGCAGCGTTAACTTAACCATTTGAAAACAACACATATGTTACAGATAAAAGCATTAACCAATTGGTTTTCATATCAGCACATCAACAAGAAAATGCAGACTCTCATTTGTCTGAATAAATCTATCTCATCTAAAAAATGATTGACATTAAATTAAACAACATATTGATGAATTATTTGTTTACCTATTGTTTCTGTTTATTTGTCGATCCTACAGAAATCCTGCTGCACCGTGCTGACTGAAGAACTGACTCTGCGCTTGAGGACAAGTAATGCGAACAAACCCCAAGAAAATGTTGTCATAGATAAAGAAAAAGCATAAAAAACATGAACATAGTTTTATTCTTAGGAAATCTGACAATAGTTACTTTTAGCTTTGATAGCTGAGCATTTTCTTAAATGTAGGTCTTGAACTCCCTTGCTTGAATATATATCAGATTCATCAGAAAAAAAAGAATATTTTACATCTGCATATAAAATAATAGGACTCACATTTTATTAAAATAAGCAATTTATTGATTTTAAAATAGTACTACTAACATTTCAATAAAAAAGCAGACATGGATTTTATATGATAAAAACAATCAGTGATCAGTGTTAACAATAAGACTAACAAATATTGCTAGTGTGCTTAGTTTACTGATACTTTTATATGAGTGCTTTATGCTGTTTTGTACAGTTGGCAATGGCGTCAGATGATTCAACAATGTATTTAAAAAAACTATTTCATGCATACAAACTGTGTTAATTGTAAACATTACAGCGGGCCTATAACAATAAAAAAATATATCTAATTGTGTACATTTCGTGGTATTCTCCTACTGATCTATAAAGAAAATCTCAATTATTTCTTCGAACAACCGTTTGTGGTTGTATTGTTACTCTCTTCATTGTCTTCTGAAGGACCAGTCAAATCTCAGCTTGTTCTAATGTAAAGGGAAAAAAAACAGAAAAAAAAGAAATGCATGATTAATACAGTCAACCAAATTTGTATCTGCAATTCTTTTGATTTACTTACTATGACCATAGAGTGTATATATAGACTATGACACATCATTTCTGATTCACCATTTAGAAACATTGGGGATTTACAGCCAATCTCCCTCATCTTCTGGTCAAAAAGGGCCTTCATCTCCCTCTGCAAGGTGCCTTCACGTGACTCTGCCCCAGCTGGCACACAGGACGGAAGAAACTCCAGGCTGTCTGTGCTGCTGCCACTGCCGCTGGATGTGCTGTCAGACAGGAGGAGGCCGTTGGGGATCGGCCTCACCTGGCTGCTGTAGCTGCTGTAGTTGTGTGCTCCTTGGGTCTGCCAGGGGACAGCAGGCCTGCGGTTTACCATAGGTGTCTGAGGAGATGCAGTTGACTTTCGAGGGCAACTGCGTGAGCGGGCCTTTGTTCGTATTGGTGTAAACTGTCCAGGTGTGGCTGGAGCCTCTAAGGTCCGTCTCATCCTGGCAGGGGACGGTGGAGCGATGAGTGGAGAGGATTTTTCTTCGGGCTGAAGCATGTGTCTAGGCAGAGGCTGAGGCCGAGGCAGAGAGAGTGTATCAGGCTGACTTTGAGTGTCTGTTGGTTGCTCAGGTTTAATAGCAATGAACTTGTCTGGGTCTGGTCCTGTTGGTAATTCCTCAAACTGTTCAGGATGCTTTGGCTCAAGCCTCTGAACTGTCTCCTGCTCAGCACAGTGTGACTCTGGCGGTTCAGCAAGTTCATTCTCCCACTCTTCTTGAATTGAGTTTTGGCTGTCAGGAACCTCGCAGGAAGCCTGGGGTGAGGTCTCAAGGTCAAAGCTGTCCTCTTTTGCACAGGGAGCAGCCCCCGTGTGGTAGGAGTCAGTGGAGGACATCCGGCTGAAGATTCCCCTCCTTGTCCCCGATGGTTCATGAATTTTAACTCGGTGCGCCCGCCTCAATGGCTCACTCATGGCCCCTTTTAGGATTGCAGTCTTGGCTGTTGGGCCTTGTAACAGAGGAAATATTTCTCCATTCCTGCTGTCCTGGGAAATGGTATCCAGATCCTTGCGGAAGAACAGACCACGTCCGTCTTCTGAGGACTGGACAGAGGAGTCTAGAGAAGGCTGCTTTTGAGGACCCTTCATATGCTTCTGAGCTGCTTTTTGGATGTGTTTTCTGGCCGCATGCACCGCATTTCCAGGTTTCATCTGTGTCATAAAGGACACCAAAGGTTTAAAGACAGAGTTGTCAGATAAAGATGAAATTTGATTTGACTTAATTAAGATAACCTTACCTTTAATGACATGTCATTGACAGCGACATGAACAAAGATGGATGACTCCGCCATCCCCTCCAGGTACACATGCCGATAACCTGCACATTTTACATTACATTTTTTACGTTAAGCCACATTTATTTTATTTTATTGGAATGGTTGATTTACTTTATTGCAGCATGGTATTGTTTGTCGCATCGCAAAAGTCTGCATATCAGATATCCCATCAAGTAATCTACCTGGCATCAAGCTTCTGAGAGCAACAGTTCTCTGTCCGATGAATTCTCGTCCAAGAGGATTATGATCCCACACATGGAAACACACCAGAGCGATCTGCGGCATTTTGACGTTATAGACAAGGGTCTCCTCCCACATTGGATTGAAACCTGAATGACAGTTAAACAGTTGTCACACGAATAGAAAAACTGTTGGGACGATGGTTGTTTATGAAATAATGAGATAAGACTTACCATTATCATCCACCACCTTGGTCTGCTGCTTGGAACAATCCACATTTATACCAACTATCTCAACCTCAACATAGGGATCAATAATCTGCAAGAGGAGAAACATGAGTAAAAGAGCATTTTAGTGATGAAAAATATATTTATTAATGGTTTGTCCAATTGTCTTAATAGATATTCTTAAAAGAGCAGCATGTTCACCTCTCCTCTGTCCCCAAACATTGAGTCTTTGGGTTTAGGAATCTGCTGTCCGCTGATGATCTTCAGCACTAACTGAATCTTTCTGGTTCCTTGTAGGGGACTTTCTAGCATGGGGTTAAAGGCACCTGAGAAAAAAAAAAAAACTCAATTAACTACCCCACAAAAAGTCTTTCACTTTAGGCAATCTGTATATGCACATACCTTTACACATGACCTTTGGCCTTAGAATATATCCACAGTTCCCATTGCTTGAGAACTTGGCTCGGTTCAGATCAAGCATCCGGCCCTCTGTTTGATAATTCAGTGCAACTAAAATAAAATACATGAAAACAAATGAAAAACTGCTGTAGGACTTAATACAACCTCTCACTGTAACTTTAAAGTAGGCATCATTGCAGTCTCTGTGACCGTCTTACCCATATGGCATCCTGCGTTCCAGTACAGTTGTGGGTTGAAGTTGCTTGAGTCCACTCTGTAGTTGGACGGGTAGACTCTTATAAGTTGGCGTTGATTGAAGCGGACCAACTCGGCTGCTTTCAGCTGTAAGATCTGGTTCATAACAGTCTCGTTGAGGGATGATACCTGCCAACTGTTTTCAAATGCTAGCAGACAGAATAAACACAACATCAAACATTCATTGCTTGAATATTTTATTGACTGTAAGATTTGTATGTATGTTTTGATGTTCACATTTTTTAAGACCCTTTACCTTGTGTTTCTATGTCATGCACACGGACTGATTTTGTGTACTTGACCAGGTCCGACAGATGTCGGGACAACCTCATTGTTTTCCTCTTCCTGAAAGTAGAGATATAGACATACAGTAAGTGTAACTCACAATACTAAGAAAATGAAATGACTAAAAGTGCTTAATTCTATGACCAGTCTTACTTGGGATGGTAAACTATTTGTGCCTTCTCCTGGCTGTGGTCTGACTCGCCATCAGGTATTGTCTTGTTTTTCACTCGTAACCTTTTTTTCCTCTGAAAAAAATAAACTTTATTTGCAGTATCTGTAGTAGCTGGGAAATTGTAGAATGAGCCATTTAAAAAAACGTTCAGAAAATAAGCAAGCGGCTGACCTTTCGTTTGAAGCTCGCTATGATCGATTTGCCAAATCGTCTTTTCTTTTTTCTTTGATTGGTAGGGTTAACGATACTACCGTCCTAAAACAGTCAAACATAATACATTATTTCACCAATCAATCAATCAATCAATCAATCAATCAATCAATCAATCAATCAATCAGTCAATCTGTCTGTCTGTCTGTCTGTCTGTCTGCCTGCCTGTCTGTCTGTCTGTCTGTCTGTCTGTCTGCCTGCCTGCCTGCCTGTCTGTCTCTCTGCCTGTCTGTCTGTCTGTCTGTCTGTCTGTCTGTCTGTCCATCCGTCTGTCCGTCCGTCTGTCTGTCATCCATCCATCCATCCATCCATCTTTGCCTGTGAATTATCATCATCATCGTCATCTTCTTCCTCCTCCTCTTCCTCATCACCAGTGTCTTCATCAGACACATCGCCCTCCTCTGCACTAGGATCTAGGTTTGCTGGCAGCTTTTTACCCTGGAAAGCATAAATTAATTAATGAATATTACCAGTCAGTTTTGTTTGTGTGCTTTGTTTAATACTCCTGAGCAGTATTTGGCTGCAGATGTTGCAAAAACAACTTACCTTGACCAAAACCTTCCCTTTAAGAATCTCAGGGGAAGGCAGCCTCTTGCATTCATGAACGTTGACACCGGACAGATCCAGTTTGTCCTGCAGCACCTCCTTCAGATACTCAGCCATCTTTTTTTGCTGAGGCACAGTGCAGTGGTTCTCTATGGACAAGATCACTGGGTACCTGGAGGGGTGAGGTGATGACACCTGAACCAACATGAAAGATGCTGTTTATTGTGAAAGATTGCAAAAATCAGTACCCCACTTACGGTGATTTTGTGAAGGCATATTTGTTAATTGTCTCAATGACTTCTTTAAATGGAATCTTGGATGTCAAAGTGTAGCCGTGATGAATAATGGGCTCCCCGTCAGGCCCGTCCCAGCAGTCCACTGCAAAGGGAGAAATAAATAAGAGAAGAAGAGATAATGAAGGATGAGTGAGTCACATTGTCTGTAATGTCCTAAAATAACAGTGAAGAGAGCTGCTGTTCTGTTTTCAGGCTCTTACCCTCCACACAGCGACAGCCTGCCTGCAGAACATAGGCGTACATTTCCACTCGAGACTGAGAGAGCAGCTGGTCTCCTGTCAGGTACGTGTTGTGTGAAGTGGCAATGAAGTAGTTAGTCAGCGGCTGCGTCATGTCCTGGTTCACCTGATTGTGCTCAGGGTTGAAGATATCACCTGCCGGACTCCTCATGAAGTTAGTAAAACCTAAAGAAAGGGAGATTCAGTGCAGGTGTATTATTTGTTTGTTCATTGCATGTCAGGTTTAATTGACAAATGTGAAATTACTGATGCATTGTTATATAGTTGTAATAAACAATTTCCCCATACCATCAATACCCAGCACTGTTCGCTGCAGGTTCTCAGGACATGGCTCAAATTGGGTTACTATGTCAACTAGATACTCTTTGGGCAAACCTCGCATCTGCAAATAAAACATCAGGAAATGTTATTTTTGGCATACCTCATCTGACATTTTACACGTATGTTAAATACATGTTTTGTGAAGTAGGAAATGTTCTATAATAGTTCATTTGAGTTATTATGTATCAATCCTTACATATAATATTTTTTTTGCCATGTTTGGCTTTTAATATATTATTTTGGAACTAAACATTTGTATCCAACAATGAACACTACAACACGGAAGGTAACTACACACCAAAAATACATTGAATGGCTTTAGAGGAAAACCATGAATAGTGTAAAGTAGAGTTGAACAACTTTACATGATATACA